TATAACAGTATGTTTGAGATGGAATGACATGGCATAGCAATGCATGAAATTTTTGAAAATGACATTTTAATAGATACGCTGGGAAGAAGTTAAGAAAATGTTTAAATTTAAATTTTGTTACCTACTTCACCGATTTGAAATCTCAGAATGAGAAGATATAGACTCATGTAAATGTGTACTTATGTATGTGACCTGAACATCGAGCTGAGCCGACTTAGGCATATAGCAACCGAACTTCAGTTGGGTTGCCACTGGCTGAAATGGTTTTACAGATGACAACTGCAAGCTGGCAACTGAGTTGCTATATTGGCAACTGCATTTTTGTGGTCGCTGCGGTAATAATCGAAGATTGTATACCTACATACAAGGTAAACTACAAAGTCTAGAGGGGGGCGGGGGGCTCGAGCCTACGTAGCGACGCCCATGGGTGGAAATTTATGTCACGTGATGCTACGTCACCGTTGTCACATATGTACGCGGCACTGGCCTGGTGACCAAAAGCTATGCAAGTAAAGGCGGGTTCCACCTTTAGCAAGCTGCACCGACTGGTCTGCGTGGCCATTACAGAGGTTGTCGAACGGATTCCCTTGGTGTCATTATAGGTATTCCTCCTTTGGCTATTCTGTTTGAAAAATAGACCTGTTGGAGCGCCCAATATGATCAGCAAGAAAATTTGGAATCTGCGGGGTCATTTGGAGTTTCCAAAGCCATTCTTGGATAATCCCGAGCTTTCCTTCTACAAACTCTACAAGGTTATAATTCCTGAAAGGGACTGATGTGAAGTTATACTAACTATGATTGACGAAAGTTTCCAAAGATGGTATACCGACGGATCAAAGATGGATGACGAGAGTACTGGTGCAGGCGTATTTGGACCAAAATTCCAGAAAGTATGCCAATTTACACATACCCTACTATATTCCAGGCGAAAGTCTTCGCAATCGAAGCCTGTGTCATTCTACAAATGGGGCCAAATTAAATATTATGGCGGATAGTCAGGCAGGTTAAAAGCCTTTGACTCTTTTAACACAGCGGCAGGCTTTTGGAGTGCTGTAAAACTTTTTTGAACATCTCGAAAGCTCACAGTAACGTAACGCTGTGGTAGGTTCCGGGACTTGAAGGGTTTTAAAGCAACGAAAGCTGACTGTCCCTTTTGTGAGCTGGTGCAGGAAACCCCAGAGCATATTCTACGTGACTACTTTCACGTATCATAAATAGCAGACTTTGTCTTCTTCATCCAAAATTTTAAACATGGCGCTCTCCAAAATGTCTAACTTCTCAAGGAGAATAAGGTTGGAGTGAAATAAATTAGGGTTAAGCACAATAGACCTTTGTAGGTCACAGCGACGTAATATTAATAAAAATAATATGTATGTGCAAAGAGACAAACATTTGTGTAAGTCTGTACAGTAAAATGAATTTTTATACGTAGTTAATTTGTTTTTATTGTACTAGCTGTGTTTTAGATTTTTTAAATTTTATGTTATCTACATTTTTAATAAACTTGACTTTAAAACCAAATATTAAAAACTTAAATTAAATTTTGGGAGGTTTTGGTTGATTTTGGTTGGAACTTTTGGAAGGAAAAAAATTTGTCCGTGACAACACTGGATCAGACTGGACATTGCATTGTCAGCCGCCATCAAGCGCAGTGTTAAGTTGTTTAATTGTAATATGTGCGTTTTGTTAAATAAACAGTATGCAATATTAATTTATTAAATTAAATAACCGCGTTTTGTTCAAGATGATGAAGAAACGGGAAGGCCATTCCTACATAAATAAAAACTTTGCCTATATTACGAAAAATTCACTGTGCCAATACTTTTGTTCGTTACTGCAAGTAAATAAAACTTTAACTTTAAAAAACCAAAAAAAAAAATTTACAAGATTTCAAAATTATTTTTCGAATAATAAATTTTTTTATGATTAACAATGTATTTATAGTTTTTTTGGTTTTAGATCCTTTTTGCTTTCAACTCGAGGTATAATTTTTCTACATTCTATCCTCATAGCCATAACTCCCTCTCTATTTTTATCCATCAATCAATCAATTTTATAGTTTTTTTTCGGTGTTTTTCATAATTACAAGTAGAGCTTTATAAAACTTTTATAACACCAAATGTTTATCAAGCTTAGGATTTTGTGTTATCCGGGCAGGCTTATTAATTTAACCAGAGAATATGTTTTCTTTATTAAGTTTACCCATTTACCCTTTTTAAACTGCTATCTGTATGTATCAGCGGTTAAAACTTGTCAAGTTTTTTATTTAAAATTTTAGGTAAGGAATAAGCGAGTGGATGAAAAATATATAACGCTAAACGGCCCATATATATGTAACTATATGAAAGAATACACACATGCGACGACTCTAGCCATTGTGGGTCACTCCTTTAAATTATAGTTATTTTTTTCTTATTGTGTTAAAAAATAACGTTCGTAACAATTTAGTAAATTTCCGTATATTAACTTAGTATATATTAAAGACTAGAAGATGACCCAGTGAACTTCATATCATCTATAATTTATTTGGATTACACTTTGATCAATTATAACAAATCTTCAGAATGCAATTCAATGAGATCACTAATAGCTGTTATAGCTGATAAAAGATTCCACACCTATGAGATGTGCCACGCCCCATTTTACAAACTTATTTATATACATATATCTTTCTATAAGCACCTACCATAGGTATCTGTGCATTATTTCGAGTTCATGTGACTATAATTCCGAAGTTAGAGCTGATTAAAAATTTTCACTATGGGAAATATATACAAATATATAGTAGATCTGATATGAAGCACCATCTTGCGGTTCTATAAATGAAAAATAGATATCAGAAATGAATTTTTCATATCACAAAACTTCGGCGCACCAGTTTTATTAAAAAAAAACATTTTTAACACTTTAGTACATATTAATCTGATTATTGACTTAGTATTAATTAAAGATATTTTCTTTTAAAATTGCGCAGGCTCGAAATTGATTTTAGAGCTATGGTCTAAAGGACTTTTTTCTTAGAATTTCATGTAGAATCCGAATCTGCTAGGAACGATTTCGATAAAAAAATTTACCCGCCCTAATATATATATATATGGGGCATTTCACCTCAAGTGACCCAACTTTTGATATCGATGTCTTCCGATCGGGATGAAATTTGCAGCAAGGTTAGTCCTATAAAATAGTAGTTATGGCACAAAATTTCAACGGGATCGGTGAAACACACTCCGAGTTGGAGGGTCTAGAATTTGTTCAAACGGCCATTTCTTCGGATGCATATAACTAATTACCTATTGTATTTAGAAAATTGTTTCAGGAATGTTTTCGATAGATTTATCTTTAGTCTTTACAAATTTTATTTTTTTTAAATTAAAATAAATTTTTTTGAAAAATTTTTTTTTATAAAAAATAACTTTTTTGGTTTTTTCAAAAAGGGGTATTTTTTTATTTTTTTTGCTCAAAAGAAAGCTTGTTTATCAATCAAAATTAGCGGTTAGTAACTCGAAACAGCGGTTTTTTTAATTTTTAATATATGACCTATTGTCTTCTTTTTTTCGTATTATTGTGTAAGTGTCTCTGAAACCTGAAAATAAAACTGAGAAAAAATGAGAAAGTATATACTCAAACCTTGACCTTTCCAACGGTATATAACATGCCAAACCAAAGTTTCATACCCTCGATACTGCAATTCCCGTAGTTAATGATGATTAAGATTTTTCGTAGTCTAACACAGCAGGTATTCGATTTTGTGCATCCAAACACTTTATTAATAGCTTTGCAGAATTTTGAGTATTAGATTTGCATACCTACTAGCACAATATTTAAAAGGTATGAAGAATATGGGATTTTCCGGTAGTTAAGGATGATTAAGATTTTTCTTTGTACCTAACCACAGCAGATTCGTCCAAACCTTTTCTCAATAGATATTCATACCTACTCGCGCAACCTATAAGTAGCTATAATAAATCAGCTATAGTTTATGAAGGCAGTGTATGGTCATTTTGAAGACCACTTTTTTAGAAACAGCGTTAAAATAAAGACTGTGTTATTTACATAATTAATATTTTCAGTAGCTATGGCTCATAAAAAGGCTAAGCTTGATAAAGAAATTTTTGCTTCTTTTTGCTTTAATCCCTTCAACAAAAAAAACCACGTTTCTTCAGATACACGACGGCTTTCTGACGGCTTAATATCAAAATTCCCTACGCTATCAAAACGGATGCGAATTTGTGGATCGTGCAGGAAAGAGCTCAGCAAATTGAAGGAATTACCGACTTCGAAAAGTAATGAGCCTTGTGAAGACGTTATTCCAGATAGAGACCATATTGAATCTGAGAAGGATGACCGAATTTCCGATGACGATGGCTCCAACTTTACTGAAGAAAATATGACTTCAAGGGATGAGTGCCAAAACCAATACCACAAGGATGCAGTAAAAGTACTTGAGCAAATAAAAGAAAAGTACAAAACTTCAACTAGTAGAGCAGAAAAAATTCAACTTCTCACGCTTGCTCCACCGACATGGAGTCGCGCAAAAACAATGGCTGAGTTTGGAACATCAGAAAGAAAAGCCAGGATTGCTAAAAAATTAGTTGCAGAGCATGGCATACTCACACTCCCAAACACAAAGAAAGGAAAACCTTTAGAGTGCAAAACTGAAGCTCTAGTGACTCAGTTTTATCAGCGCGATGATATGAGTCGCCTGATGCCAGGGATGAAAGACTGGGTGTCTGTACGAATTGACGGTAAGAAAGTTCAAATGCAGAAGAGGATAATTCTCTGCAACCTGAATGAGCTGTTCGCGAGCTTTCAATCTGAACACGAGGATATTAAAATTGGATTCACAAAATTTACCAAGCTCAGGCCAAAACATTGCGTCTTGGCAGGAAGCAGCGGAACTCATACAGTATGCGTTTGCATTTATCATGAAAATGTGAAGCTGATGTTGAAGGAAATCAACTTGAATTATTTAAAAATGATTCGCCGGAAGATTTGAACAGTTACCGTGATTGCCTTAAATTGACAATGTGTCCTAATGTATCAACTTCTTGCCACTTGGGTGAATGCTCAAATTGCCCGGGAACTACGTTCATCAAAGAGAATTTGGTCAAGTCTTTTGACCGAGAATTTGTGGAGGAGGTCCAATTTGAATCTTGGCTGCAGTCTGAAAGGTGCACATTGAAAACAGTTATCTTAAGTGTGGACGATTTTGTGGAAGAAATTTGTACCGGATTGGTAAACTTGAGAACCCATGACTTTCTAGTCAAGGAGCAGCGGTCATTCTTCGAAAATTTGAAGATACATTTGCAGGCAGGTGAATTCGTTATTTCATACGATTTCGCAGAAGACTATAAATATGTTATCCAGGATGCCATACAAGCATTCCATTTCAATAACGACCAAGCAACTATATTTACAATAGTTATTTACTACATGAAAGATGGAAAACTGGAACATAAAAGTATGGCAATCATATCCGACGATTTGAAGCATGACGCCGTTGCTGTTTATGAGTACCAGAAGATAATACTAAATTATCTAAAATCCGAATTCACAGTAGCGAAGGTATACTACGTTTCGGATGGAGCTCGTCAGCATTTTAAAAACAAAAGTAGCTTCGCAAATCTTATGGCTCATGAAACAGATTTCGATACACCAGCTGAGTGGCATTTTCATCCTACTGCTCATGGTAAAGGAGCATGTGATGGTATAGGAGCAAATATTAAAAGAAATGCAGCGAAGTATAGCCTCCAATGCTCTCATCAAGCCCGTATCTTAGATGCGAAAGCTTTATTCCGGTGGGCAAAGAAGTACTGTAAAGAAACTGAAATAATTTTTAGTAGCAAAGATGATCATGCGGAAACTGCGAAATCACTGAAGAGCAGATTCGATGCTGCAGTAACAATCGATGGTACCGCTCAATATCATGCTTTCATACCGATTGGCGATGGAAGGCTCAAGTTAAAGAAGTTTTCTTCCTCTACCCAATGTGATTTCTTTCCAAAAGCGAAACCCGAAGTGAAATCAACAGCAGAACCCAGTAACCCTAAGAAAGGATTGACGAAAAAAGCCACAAAGAAAGGTGGAAAATAAGGTGGATGGAAGGCTGGCTATTATAAAATTAACTATCTTGTATACTTTTTATGTATCTATTTATTAAATTATATATTAAAAACTATTCTAAATAAATAAAAAAATTCATAATTTTGACCAATTCTATAGAAAAACAGTTATTTTATTCCAAAGGTGTACATATTGTGGGTATTGTTATATAGCGTTGGAAAGGTAATTGTATCTAATTTTTTATATGTCTTATTTTCAGGTTTCAGAAAAACTTAGGTCATATATTAAAAATTAAAAAAAACGCTGTTTCGAGTTACTAAATGCTCATTTTAATAGATAAACAAGTCGCATCCCACTAAGCGACCTCAAAACTCTTAAAGAAAAATACCTAAGCTTTCTTTTGAGCAAAAAAGAAACAATCTTAATCATCCTTAACTACCGGAAAATCCCATATTCTTCATACCTTTTAAATATTGTGCTAGTAGGTATGCAAATCTAATACTCAAAATTCTGCAAAGCTATTAATAAAGTGTTTGGATGCACAAAATCGAATACCTGCTGTGTTAGACTACGAAAAATCTTAATCATCCTTAACTACGGGAATTGCAGTATCGAGGGTATGAAACTTTGGTTAGGCATGTTCAGGTTTCAGAGACACTTACACAATAATACGAAAAAAAAGACAATAGGTCATATATTAAAAATTAAAAAAAACCGCTGTTTCGAGTTACTAACCGCTAATTTTGATTGATAAACAAGTCGTATCCTACTAAGCGACCACAAAGCTCTTAAAGAAAAATACCTAAGCTTCCTTTTGAGCAAAAAAAAATTAAAAAAATACCCCTTTTTGAAAAAAACATAAAAGTTATTTTTTATTAAAAAAAAAAATTAAAAAAAATTTATTTTAATAAAAAAAAAATAAAATTTGTAAAGACTGAAGAGAAATCTATCGAAAACATTCCCGAAAAAATTTTCTAAATACAATAGGTAATTAGTTTTATGGATCCGAAAAAATGGCCGTTTGACCAAAATGCCAAAATTCTAGACCCTCCAACTCGGAGTTTGTTTGACTAATCCCGTTGAAATTTCGTGTCATAACTACTATTTTATAGGACTATGCTTGGTGCAAATTTCATCCCGAGCGGAAGACATCGATATCAGAAGTTGGGTCACTTGAGGTGAAATGCCCCATATATATATATATATATATATAAGAATTGCTCTTTAATGTAATAAGATACACTACGTTTAAATTTGACTGAAAAACTTCACACTGAGTTTAAACTTAGTTTAAACGACAAACAGAGTTAAACTCGCACTGAAAATATGGCCTTTAGTGGACAAGAGTTTAAACACCGCCGCACAGTGGTCCAATCTGTTCTAGTAGGGTAATTTAATTATTATGTTAAGAACTAAGACAGATATCGGGATGAAATTTTGCACAAATTATGTTTCAATGACTAACAACTTCTGCTATAAAATCGCTAGTGTATATACTCCTTGGTATGGATTAAAAATAGAAAGTCGGTTATATCTATACCGTATTGACGCCGGATCCGAATCAGCCACCTAATATATGTATAAAATAAAAAACTGTTATAAAGTCAGATCAAGCTTAACAACTAATGGCCATTTCCTCATCTAACCTTTAGATTACCGGCCGCATTATCGTCTCGATAAACGAATTTTCGAAAAGAAAATGAAATCTTTTTTACGGAACGGAATTCATATTTGATTAAAAAAATTCAGAGATTTTGAGTGGCATCCTTTCAGGCGACATAAATTTTCGTAGTTAACAATGCACTGTGAATTCGGCCCTTAATTTATTAAATTATTAAAAATGAATGCGTGCTTAGAAGTTAGAAATTGGAAAGATTGGTAGGTGGCACTGTCATCGCATCCTCTTCCTTTGCCTCAAAATGCTCATTCAACATATATCGTGTACATAAATTTAAAAATCACCGCAATTTAAAATTTTTAGAGTTTTGTTAGTTTTTAATTTCTTGAAGTTTCCCCTTTTTACAAACTTGAGTGGAATTCCAAAATTTTCTAAGCTTTCCAAACTTTGTGAATTTGAGAAATTTTAGTAAATCCCAATAATTCAATATAATGATGAATACTAGCTTTCTAGAATTTTTTTATTTTTCAAAAATTTTGAGAATTGTAGGAATTCTAACAAATTTTTTCTAGGTAAAACTGTCGAATATACACGATTGATCAAACGAAATTAAAAGTTTTCGAATGTTGAAAACATTTTCATATTTCGTCATTTTGGAAAATTTAAAAAATTTCCGTAATTCTTGAAGATTAAAAAAATTTTTGGGCGTAGATGTTTTCAAAATTTTCAAAAAATTTTAAATTCTCAAACTTTGTTATATCAATACAAGATTTTGAAAAGTCTAGAAAAGTGGAACAATTTTGGAGTTTTTCAAAAATGTTAATATCTTTTAGAATTCTAAGAATTTTCTATTTTTTACACACAAGTACATGAACATAAGAATTTTTCGACAATTTGTGATGTTTCATATTTTTACAAACGGAATCGTGATGATGAAATTTTTGATGCTGTTTTTTTAACTTTGGAAAGGTATTTTCTCACCCTTTTTATTTCTTTGCTAATAAACTCATTCAAAGGATGAAAGAGAGAGGTAGGATGAACGAGTGGCATTCAAAGTTGAATCAAGATGTGGGTATTTGGAAAAAAAATATTGGGACACGAATGACTTTTTTTTTACAGAAATAAAAACAGTGTGAAAATACCTTTCTTTTGAGAT